TATATATTCTATATTTTTTAAAAAAAGTTATTTTTTTAATGTGTAACAAATTTTTTTTTTATTTAAATATTTTAATTTACAAGTTTAACATAATATTTTTTAATATGAGATAATTTTTTTTAAAAAAATATTCTTTTAAAATTTATTATTTATAATATGTATAGCTTATATTGACATAGATTTTTTCTTAATATTTTCATATGAAATATTGAAGGTTTAAATATTTTTTTTTAATTTTTTCAGGTTAATCCGGGTTGATTTATAAAACCCATGATCTAGTTCTTTGACCGGGTCATCTCTCAAACCGGGTTTAATTACTATAGTTTAATCCTAAATATTGTTAAACTAAATATATACTATTACACTGTTATCCTAAATATTGTTAAACTAAATATATACTATTACACTGTTATAAGACTTAAAATGAATTAGACATTAAAGGGCTTCCAAACCCACATAAAAGAAGATTTGTTTTACAGGTCTTGTAATTATCAAAATTTATTTTTTAAAAATCTATTTGTTTTTGTGGTTGTGATTGTTTTTGTTGCAATCATGCTTGTAAAAAAACTAATACAAAAACTGATATAAGATTCATTAAAAACCATGATTAGATCAATATTTTTGTGAAAGTTTGATGCTTTTAGGAGATAGAGAGTAAATTAATTATTAGTTGTATTAAAATTATAAAAATAACCCTTAAAAAGTGTATGAATATATTAAGATATAAAATGACACACCCCTCCTAATTACTAAGATTATTATACATCCTAGTTATTATTTTTAGTTATGTATATTTAAGAATTATAGTTTTAATTAGTCAAGTAAACTAACCTCTTTAGTTACTTATTGCTATCTTATCAATTATATTTACCAATCTAACATGCATTTATAAGCATATACAGCCTACTCCTTGTTAAATAAGCTTATATGATGTGTTGTTATTGTCTTGTCTTGTCTTCTTCATTAAAATATATTCAACAACTTGTACATAGTTGTTCTATTAAGCAATTTAATATTAAAAATGTTTATACTGGATATATTTACAAATGCATTTACTTATGCAATTCCCATATGCAAAACTAACCTATCAAATATATAACAACATTACTTAAGTTACACTTCAAACTAAAATTCCAAAGATACTTTGGTTGGTAGCATATCACCCACATCTTTTTTTATTCTCACTTTGATCCTTTAAAAATAACATTTTATCTACTAATATGTGGGAATATAATCTAATGAATGATTAGAACAAAAAAAATTAAAAACTTCACAAGTCTTCAACATTTGATATAACATTTAACTAGTATAACATAAATGGCAACTTAATGATCATATCTCATATTTATATACTACCTCAAAAGTAGCATAGGTAACATGTGCCATAATTTTATGTAAAGAAAGTTTTTATATTTTCACATATCATATGCTATTATACCAACACAATATTTGAGCTCACATCCTTTTATTTTAATAGTTATTTTAATAGAACAAAGCATGATTCAGTCTTTCATAAATATACCATTAACTAGTAATTATCATATGAAATCTCCATTCAAGACTTAGGTTAGGATTCATATACAAATTTTGAAAACCTAACAAGCATTTAAGAAAATTCTCCATATAAAATATCTAAAACAATAAAATTTATACATACTTATTAGTTTAATCACTCACTTAAGCTTTAGTCATTTTTCATTTCTCTATTTGTTTCTTTTTTATTTTCTAACCTGATAATCTATCTATGGTTTCCTTTCTAACAATTATATTGAATTTAAGCTCTAATACTCCATAATTTATTCTTGGAATATATGGTTAGCTAGTGCTAGTTTGTAGGATGGTGTTTAGCTCTTTCTTATGTTCAAGAAAATGAAAACAAAAAAATGTAGTTATTATTGAAAATTCAGTAGAAGAGCACATTATTTCCTTTGTCTCCACACTTCACAAGCATGAAAATACCAAAACTTGTCATATTTCACCTATATTACTACACAAAATTGTCTACTTAACTTACTTGATCATTGTCTTACTTCATCTATTTAGGTTGGTAATAGCATCTTGGACCTTTTTTTTTTTTAGTTCTTTAGCTTTTATCCTATAATTTTTCCTAATCTTTAAAGTAATAATCAATCAATTATAGTAAATACAAGTTTTAGAATGTTACTAAGTAAAAAAAAATCTTTTGAATTACTTTTTCATTATTTCTTAAATAATTTTTATTCAACCATACATATAACCATAAAATTTGTAAATTCAACCTTTCCTTTACAAACATCATACTTTACTTCATAACCATAAAACCCAACACAATTATCAAACACACACTTTAGGTAATACAAGTGGTTTAAAAAGTACCTATAAGTGTTCTAAACTCAAGGTAAAAATAGTAGATAGCTTGAAGAAATGCTGAGAATAGGCCTTAACCCAAGGTTTTGAATTTAAAAGAACAAACCCAAGCCCTTTTGTAATCTCTCTCTCTCTCTCTCTCTCTCTCTCTTAAGTACACCCCATAAATTAACTTCTTCAACAAACCTGTACCTCACCAACTAGTCAGAATAGCATAACTTAAGTGGAGTTTCTTGGGATGGAAGTAGGAGATAGAATCAGAATAACACAGTTGACAAAAATAAAAACTTTGGTGGTCATAATGATTATAATAGCAAAGAATTTCAATAGGAATATGGTGGGTAGGATGGTCAAAATGGGGTTCATGGAGTAAATAGGAATGTGCAATTAGTTGGAACCAATTTAGGTTTGATTCACAAGGTCTTACAAAGTCACAAAGAAGCTTGAATAACAATTACACTCATAATATAGAGAAATTCCTCCATGGACTCAATGATCATTATATTGGAGATGAGGGATAAGATCAACATAACTATTATTTTGGAATACTAGCAGAGTTTCAATGTTGGAACAATATCAACCAAATTGTAATACTTTTCAGAGTGGCATCAAGCCTTCTCAGGTAAACTATGCCATACTCGAAATGGATTCAGCTAAATCTTCTAAAAGTAGCTTGGATAGAGATTTTTTGGAGGAGTTGGATGACTTTTGCAAAGAGGGGAAAATGAAAGAAGCTGTAAAATTTTTGTATTTGTTACATAAGCAGAGCATTTCAGTGGATCTACCATAGTATTTACAATTGATTCGAGCATGTGGAGAGGCTGAAGCTTTAGAGGAAGCAAAAGTGATGATTGGTGAACTACTTTCTTATAGTGAGAGACTAGCAACAACTCATGGTCTTCTAACCACCATTGTTCGCTCTCCTCTTCGAGTAGTTCAGAATCTTCATTTTTGTGGTGATTGCCACAATGAAATGAAGATAATCTCGAAGCTTATTGGCAGACAACTCATTACACGATATACCAAGAAGTTTTGCCATTTCAAAGATAGAATTTTATCGTGGAGATTATTGGTGAACAAGTTATTCTTTGAGATAAAATCTGTTTTGTTTCATCATTTTTAAATTTGAAAAAATTTAAATTTTTGTTATGCAATTTGGGTAAATTTTCCTCTGTTTGGGTTGTGATGCAATTGTTTTTTTAATTAAAATTTAAATATATTTTATTTTATTTTAAATTTTTAATATTTTTAACTGATTTTATTACTTAAAAATAAAAAAAATACTATTTTAATATATTTTTAAATAAAAAACTTCCAAATATAATTCCAGTTTTCTTCTGTCTTGAATTTTGAGCTATGCTTTTAAATTTGCTCCTGTTGTTTGATTCATATATAAATTATTTTGAATCCTTCTAAAGCAATGATGGAGAAGATCACGAGGTAGATCTATGGCCATGATTCATATCTATCTTCTTACTCTGACAGTAGCACTTTTGATCCTCTGAATTTGAAGTCTTTTGGCATTTTGGGAGAAAAATTGTCCAAGAAGTTTTGGGCGGTGGCAAATGCACGCTCGCGAACATCTTCTCGCTTGCTTTATCACTTGTTTCTTGCTCTTTTACCTAGTGTTTTTAAACCTGATTTGGTGGCTTCCTTTGCCATAACTAAGAGATCCTCGTTATTTTTAGCTACTATTTGGTGGTTGTGGCGTCATCGCAACAATATGACTTATGATGATCACTACTTAGGAGAAGCTTGGCTGATGAGGAAGATCTATGATCTTAGGGTGGACTATAATAGGGGTTTAACTATGGTCATTTGTTATTCAGATTCTATGGACTCTCTCTCAAACTTATACAAAGAGGATTCCATATGCTTTCACAAATTTGATGCTATTATTGTAGAGATTAAAAAATTATTGTCAAGATTTTAGGAGATAAGTATCCAATAAGCTTTAAAGGAAAGTACAAGTACAAGTGTGTAGATTTCTTAGCTAAACTGATTGTCAATGAAGATGAGCATTTTTAGATCTGGAAGAGCCCACCTCTTCGAATAAGATATTTGCTCCAAGCTAATATGATGGATATATCCCATTTTAGATTTTAGTTTCTCTTTTCTATTTTTATTGTATCAAAAAAATAAATAATAAATCCTTGTAGCACAATCCTAACTAAATTAGTTAAAAAAAAATCTTCCTAAAGCACATAAAAAATAAATTTTAATTTCACTACTATAAAAAATATGAAAATTAAATGACCAATTAATGTATAATAGCCCCCCACACACATATATAGTTAAAAATTAAAAGGTTATTTTTAATCTTAGAAAGTTTTGTATTTTTTAGTTTGCTATATATGAAAAAGAAAGATTTATATGACGTTTGCTTTTAATTAAAATAAAAAAATACTAATTATGAATCCATGATACAAATAATAATTAATTATATAAACAATAATTTATACATGAATCTTTTAGTTTAAATGTGTGAGATATGATAGTGAACATTTCAACAACTTAACAATCAAATAAAAAAAGGTACACTCCCATAATAATCAATATATCATATATTAATTGCTAACAAGACAAACAATATGATGATTTAAACCTCGAAAGAACTGTCTGGGCATCTGATCACATCCTGATAAACCTACAACTTAATGCGGAAGAATCTTATCAACAATTATCAAAGTAAGCTCTGATAGTTTAATGACGTTGTGGTTATCAGCTGTGATGGGCGACACACTAATAGGATCTCTTTTATAAATATTTTCACAATCTATAACCTTGTTGGTTCCATCTCTAACCCGATCGATCACATCCCAATAAGCCCTGGTGTCTGATGAAGAGAAAGCTCTAAGAAACTGCCCTAGCGCATCCTTGTAATCAGTCCCGCAAACTATAAGTCGTTGCCTACCAACTGGGTCACTGGTTTGACCAAGAATGCTAGCAATGTTATCCGATGTCGTTTGTAATTGATCAATGGTCAATGAAATAGATAACAGGGCTAAACCATCCATGCTGGCTGCAGCAACACGTGGATCGACGGCTAGAGTCCTATTGCAGAAGTCGGGGTCTAGGGACTCCTTGCATATGCTCTGAACTAACGCTGCATCGGCTTTCGTTTCAAACCTGATTGCTGCAGTGTGGGAAGGGCAGCATGCACAAATGACCAACAAGGGGAGGATTAAAGAAATAAAGCAAAGCGGATAAGCCATCTTCTTTGCTTGCTTTGAAAAGTGAACGTCAATCCAAGAATTAACTGTTCTGTGATACGTGTGAGAGAGAGCCTGTGCTTGCACAAATATATACAGACGACTGAATTTAATGCAAGCAAATATAAGGAATTATTTGGGGAGATAATTTCTCCCTGATATAAATGAAGGAAATCGCATCGCATTTTATCAGGTTCAGGCATTTATACTGATTTTGCCATATTTAGAATCGTTGAAATCTGTCTGCATTCTTGACTGTCTGAAAGGAAGGAAAGGAACCAACCTATAATGGCTAATTCATTAGCATTAATGCAAAATCCTTTTTCTTTCGTTTTAAATGTAATTTTTTTTTTAATTTATTTTCTTTCCTTTGGAAGAAACTTCTTTCATAGCTTCTATCTCATATATATTCTGTACAATTAATCAGAATTTATGATTTTGTCACGTTAATATTTTGTATTTTTATTTGGAACATTATTTGGTTTTTGTCATATATGTTAATAAGCTGTAATTTGAAATATTATTTGGTTTGAGTTAAAATTAGAAATAAACATCTTAGTTTTAGGCATTCTTTAGCTTTTTAGAAATATAAGATTTATGCCTAAAATATTTATTAAAATTTCAAATTCTACTTGTACCCTTTTAAAGTTCAAAATATAGCCATTACAAAGAAAGCGTAATCTATCTAGAAGTTCAGTACATCTAACCCTATTTTGATTTGTCTACAATTATAGAAATCAAAACAAAGCAATAAGATTATTAGATGATTTAGAAATATTATAATATATAAAATGTTTATGAAAGGCTCAACTTCAAGCTATATTGTTTCAACGCTCTAAATCCATAAAATATCAAAGTAAAAGTAAAAGCATTTAACAACAACGACTCTCACCCATATGAGTTTTGTTCTTTCTTTCTTGAATTAAATGGCATTTTTCCATGCCTTTTCTACTTGTATATGAAGGGAACTTTGGGGTTTAAACACCATAAGCTATGTTTGCAAATTATGAAGTTATTGTTTTGAAAATCCATGGTGAAAACATGCTAAATGAGTTTTATTTTTCTTTTCTTGAAGTATAATTCATGAGTGTTGGATTTGTGGTTTTAAGAGGCTTTGATTGTGCTTTAAATCTTTGTTTTGTTGGATAAAATAGACCTAATTTGATCATACATGATAGGAGGTTTGTTTTTATTTTTACTTCATGTTTATGAAGCCTATAACAAGCAAGTAATAAAAACATCTTGTTTTTTTTTTTTTTTTGTCTCTATCTCTTTTTATCTCTATGTTAGTTTTATGCTTTATATAACTTTAACATGTGGTTGTTTAATGTATATTGGGAATTTAAAATAAATAAATGAGTGTTTTTTTTCATGTTAGTGACCCTTTAATTTTTTTTTCATGAATGGCCTAACTGACAAGTTTTTATTTAAAAGAACTAATGTTGAGATTTTTGTGAATGACCTAATAAGAGAATTCTATTTCTAAAGATGGACATCAAATTTTTTTAATGATCTAATTGACAAGTGTTTTATTTTTAGAGATGAACGTTTATTTTTTCATAAGTGACCTAATCAATAAGTCTTTTATTATTGGGAATGGATATTAAATTTTTCAAATTACCTGATAGAAAACTCTTTTATTTTTAGATATTAACATCAATTTTTTCACAAATGGCATAATCAACAAGTCTTCTATTTTTAAGGACTATCATTGAATTCTTCATAAATCATTAGAAATAAATTAAATAAACTGTAAATAAGTTTAAAAATAATTTAGATAATTAATGGAATTCATATAATAAATTTAGAAAATAACATATAGTTAAAGTAACCTTTCGTTTGAAAAAATTCTATAAAAATAATGTCCTGCTTTCCTTAAGCATAACCAAACCCTTACTTTAATATCTTGAACCAATACATAGTTTAGAATTTTTAGTTTCATTTAGTTACAAAGTTACAATTCCATTGTTTTTCATTTTCCTTTTATTTTCAGAGGTCTCAACATTGTATCGAGTGCGATTAATGATGACTTAATTGAGGACTAGGTTAAGCCTACATGCATATGCTTTCTTTTTTGATACCTTTATTACCTTTTTTTATTCAATATTTATTTTATTTATGTTATTTATTATTGTATTAATTTTAATCTATGCATGCCATTTTTCAAGTTTTCACACACATCAACACAAACCAATAAAAAGTTATAGATCTATGATTATCCCTTTTAGAATTAGATACGTAGATTTAGGGAGGAAGTGTGCCTTATATACATTGATGATTATATGTATTTTCTTTTTAGATAAAAACTTATCATATGCACGGTATCATAAAGCTACTCTCATACCTATGTTGTAAATGGTTTAAAGACCGATTTATCCCACTAAAAATTCAAACATACGAGAACCTTACAAAAAAAATAATCTTAGGGTTGTAAAGCCAAGCGAAAACCCTATATGAGCTAGATCATATTTATTTGGGTTGATCTAATGACATGACATTTTATACATATTCTTTTATATGGTGATCTTACTATATCTCATTGATCCTTATAAAATGTATAAAAAGATGAGACATGTTAATACCCAAAATAACTTATGCATGGTATTATAGAGCGACTCTCATATCCATATTGCAAAAGGTTTAGAGATCGGTTTACCCCATTAAAAATTAAAAAATATAGGAACTTTTTTAAAAAATCATAGGTGAAGTAAGGCAAGCCAAAACCATTTATGATCATATTTATTAGGGTTAATTTTATAACATGACATCTCATACACATCCATTTATATGATGATCTTGTTATATCTCTACTAATCCTTATTAAAAGTATAAGATGGTGACATATTACTATCGAGGATATAAGAACCAGGTTAAAGTAAAGCTAATATGATGAATGAAATTGTATGTCAATATGGTTTGAATTTAAGTTAGTAGAGCAGATAAGGTTTGAAAACATACCATGCCTTCCAATCAATTATTAGAGTGATGGGAAATGATATCCTTGTAGGACCATAGTAGCTTCTAAAAGCAATAAGATACATAACATAGTTGCATAAGATTTAGGTACAACACTCCTTTTTCTAAAAAAATAGAAAGAATACCTTTTGGTCCAACTATAGTAACAACATGCTTTTAAAAGCTATACACAAAGTTTAACCTATAGTTAAAGGCAAAGAGGGGGCAAGATCATAAGATAATAGATATGGTACAAGCAATAGTCAAATCTAAAAAAATAACATAAAAGATTACTAGAGATAAGCAAATAAAGATTAAATTGAGATAAATAAAATGGAATAAACGAGAGAGATGCTTCAAGAATAATGTCGACAACAAATAAGGTTGATTACACAACTAGAGAACTATTTAGGAGAATTAGTTAGTCAGAAAGATAAATTTGACTTAATTAAGCAAACTTTGATAGATGAGAGAAAAGCTGGAAAAAAAAAGGGAACATTATTAGGCTTTTAAAACCATACTCTATCATATATAAGCTAAAAATGCGAAAAATTATACTAGAAAATTTAAAGGCATAGCCCAACTTATAGTAGAGGGTGAATCAACTTCAAAATAAAAGATTAGAATAGAATTGTTGAGAGCAATATTTTTTTAAAAAAGCTTGTATTATATTAGACAAACTTTGTAATATGTTATTTTGTATTAATAAAAAGACACCTTGTTACACATTTTAGACATCTAATTGCTTTTTTTAATGTCTAATACTTGTTTATGTTTGAGTTAACTCCTATAAGAGACAAATTATTTTCCTCTAAATTGATCAAGGTTTTTATAGGTTTCAAGCTTTAAATGAAAACTTTTCAAGAAAATTTAAAATGAAAACTTTCTAAGAAAATTTAATTTAGTTCATCCTTGTAGTCTTAAATAACAAGCATATGTAATCAATTCATTCATTTATGTATTTTATTTATTTCTTTGCATGCTACTCTGTAGTTTTAGTACATGGAAAAATTAGGTTGCTCTGCTAATATCTAATTTTTCTTAAATGTTTACCACATAAAATACATAAAACAAAATGTAACAAGAAAAAAGAGCTCTATTTAAGATAAACCACTAGAAAGAAATTAATAATTTCAAAGGAGAAGTTGAGAATTGTAAGCAATCTCAATAAGGAAAAGAACATCTAGAAGATATCAAATACATACAAAGACACAACCCCTTCCAAGCATGCAACCTTCATCTCAAGTACAAGTATTACCTTTTAGTCTCACCTAGAAAATGGTGTCTCTCTAGAGTAATAATATTCTTTGTATTTTCCATATTATAACAAATAGCGTTTAGGTACTTTAAACAATTAACTTGACAAATAAAAAATAATAAAAACCAATAATTTAGACCATGAAAGATGTAAGGAAAGAGATTTGGAAAAAATAAAAGTCCTGAAACAAGGACTTGAATTCAAAGTAAGAAGTGTTGATGGTAAAAAAAATAAATAAATTGGTGTCTAACTTAGGTACTCTAGAATAAACCTCAACTATAATAGAAAAAGAGAAAGATAACCTATTAGCTTAGCTACAACAACAACAACAATAATATATTTTTCATGAGTTATAGGAAAGTTCCAAATTATTGTCAGTTATCAAAGAAGAGTAAAAAAAAAAATGATAGAAATAGTTGAAATAACATGAGAAACTTATAAAAAGATTGTAAAGAACAAGTAGTTAAAGGTTAATTTTAAGTAAATAATGGTGGAGTGGTTACAAGATCTTTATTAAGTAGATGAGATTTTCCACTTTAAGTTCAGGAACAAAAGATTTCTAGATGTGACTTTTATAGATATTTTCTTCATTGATAAGTACTTTTCCTATTAGCTTTTAGAGTACATTAATGATTTAGTGTTTTACCTTTTTTTTTATAATAGAACAATACTTTATGTACCTAAATTTATCTCCTAGAGGTTTTGACCTAACTCAAGATAACCAATGTAGACATAAAAAGTTGGCATTCATGATCATCAAACATAAATTACATCGGTATTTGTGCCACAT